ATTTAAATATATTAAAAAGATAATTAAATTATATATATTTTTATTTGTATTTATTTGTGTTGTTTTTTTTTAGGTTGAGGACCCCATAGTTAAGGAGCTGATAGAAGAAAGCAACGAAAATAAAATAAAAAATAAAAAAGAAAAAATAAAAAAAGAAAAAGAAAATAAAAAAAGAAAAACACAAAAAGAAAATATAATAGATGAAGATATCTCAATAAATAAAGAAGAAATACAAACAGACCTTCAGGGTAATTTATAAATATTTATTTTTTTGTTTTTTTTTATTTATATAAATAAATAAATATATTTATTTATTTATTTATTTCGTTTTATATAATTAAATAATTATATCTATATTTTGTTTAATATAAATAAATAAATAAATAAATAAATAAATATATAATTTATTTATTTATTTAGTTTTATATAATTAAATAATTCTATCGATGGATGCATGCAGCAGATTGTGTTTGTGTGTTGCTGTTTATTTATTTATTTTTTTTTTCTTTTTTTATATTTTTTTATTTTAATATCTTTTTACTGACTGTTTATATTTATATATTTATATTATATTTTTGTTTTTTTTGTTTGTTTGTAGCACCGGATGAGAGACAAAAAAAGAAGAAAATAAAAAAACAAAAGACAGTTGCTGCTGACGATGAGCAGCAAGCAGCAGCAGCAGCAGCAGCAGCAGCACCAACAGCAGCAGCAGCAGCAGGATATAAAACAAAAGACAAAACAAATTCTGTTTCTTTTTTAAATAAAAATAAAAAAGAAGAGACAGATCCTCTCCTCGATGCCGCTTTGTTTTTTATCGAAGGCACCAACCCCTCCCTAAGCAAACGAGAAATAAAAAGAAGAAAAAAAGAACAAGTAAACTATTTATTTATTTATTTATTTATTTATTTATTTATTTGTTTATTTATTTATTTATTTGTCTTTTGTTTTACTTTGGTTTTATTTCTCTTGTTTTATTTTTTTATTTTATTTATTTTATTTTTTTTGTTCTTTTGTTTTCTTTTTTTCGTCTTTTTACACGCCTATACGCAACTGGGGGTGATTGCTTATTTGTTTCTTTCTTTATTTTTGTTTGTTTATTTTGTTTTTTGTTTGTTTTGTTTCTTTATTTTTTTGTTTGTTCATCTTATTTGTTTGTCTGTTCGTTTCTTTGTTTATTTGTGTATTTGTTTATTTGTTCGTTTGTTTCTCTGTTCGTTTCTTTATTTTTTATTTGTTTGTTTGTTTGTTTGCCTGTTTATTTATAATATACTGAACTTTCTTTATCCTGTTACTTGTATTTGTTTATATGTGTTGCTTTCTTTTAGTTTGTTTTTTATGTTTTTGTTTATATTTCTTTGTTTGGTTTGCTGCCTCGTTGTCTTCGCTGTCTGTCTTTGTTGTGCTGCAGCTGTTTGTATGTGTCTTTGTGTCTTTGTCTTTGTCTTTGTCTTTTGTTTATTTTTTTGTTTTTTTTGTTCTTTTTGTTTTTTTGTTTTTCGTATTTCTTCTCTCCGCTCGCATATATTACCAGGTATAGACCTGTACACACATGTATACATATATATATATATATATATATATATATATATATATATATATAT